ATCAATCCATGTATACCATTTTATATCTGGTATTGGATATCCCATAGACGTACACATAATTTTAGCATTCTGACCTTGATCTGCTGAACTTTTATCCAAAGTGTCATTGCAAATTACAGCAGAATCTGTGATTGTGGAAACATTAGCTTAAAAACTTAAGTCGCTATACGTTCTTTGCTTCAGTCAAATGCATTTACTGTATTTTGAAATAATCAGCCTAGTTCCAATTTTTATCAATTTAAAGTTAATAATGCAGACGTTTATACAAACAATGTGGATTATTTGTGAAAATAAAATCAAATATAAATACAACATATTTAAAAGTGTCAATATATGCTGATATCATACTCTATTTCTTAATTTAATTATATCATAAAAAAAAACAGTTCTACACATTCATATAACTATATCTTGCATTTGAACCTCGTTTGAACAAAATCTATTGAGGTACATGAATGTCCGAGACATTCTCATTTACACATTAGTAGTCCACAAATTAAATTGAAATCATACCACATTTAAACAACATTAGCATGGGCCTGCCTAAACATGATTCCAGTCCGTTAAATATTTTTTTTTTATTTTAGGATCTCTCACTAGCTGATACAATATTTACTTAATTGTGTCAAATTAGAACATCTAAGAAACAGATAGGAAACTTAGAAAATATACAAGAAAATATAATCCCAGTTCATTTACGGGACTCTCTACATACACGAGAACGATGATGCAATCCCTCGTCATAATCACTGTGTCTGTATTAAAGATTAACTTATCACTGCTACAAATTATATTTATTTCTAAATTTGTGGTTTACAGTATAACTGTTTTCTGATGGGATGATTTCACCGAAACAAGTTCATGTATAATGTTTTTATACACATCTATTGTTGTAACGTGACTTCAGACACACAAAAGACTTATGTTATTAATTAATGTTTAGTGATGTAATGTTGTTAAAACACGTAGTATGAATGCATATCTAATTGTAACAAAAATTAATAAATACTTACACTGTACAATCATATTAACAAATGTATGTTGTGTCATAGACTGTGCATCATGGTTACTTTCACATCCGATTCTTTTTCCAAAATCTTCTTTTATTGGTGTAATTGATAATCTACTTATTGTGTCCATTTTACCATCATGATCCCATACTATTCTGCTATTGCTACCAGTTGTAATATCAACATCGTCCTTATACCACTCTATACTAGCAGGTGGATGTGCTTTACTAGCAGTACAGTCTAGTTGATATTCTACACCTGCTCTCATTGTGACATTGTCATTTGTAGAATAGCCATCAATGTTCACTTGATCTGGAGAAACTGAAATAAATATTACATGTAATAGTTAGGTCATTGTTAAATTTAAGTAAAATGACTTATATTATATCCTTCATGTTTTTCCTCATAAGACAGTTCTGGTATACTATGAGACTGTTATCATCATTTGAATTACAAGATGATTTGTTTCTTGTCATATATTATAGTATATGGTTTATAAACTAAACAGTGTCATTTTTATTAGTTAAAAACATATGATCAACCCATTAAACTTACTCCACACATCTAATAAGACTTGTTCATTGATTGGTTGATCTCTGTCTGTAGCATCATTTGTTGCCTCACATTTCAATGTTTTGTTGTGATGTTCTGTATAAATTGGTGTCAATACAAGTGTACTTATGGTATCTTTTAATCTATTATCTTGTTGGTTGTCTGGTGTCTGTACATTATCATGTGTAGCTGGGCTGTTATTGATATACCATTGTATAGTAGCTGCTGGTTTACCACCAATAGATGTACATGTGATTGTTGACTCTATATTATTATATACAATAAGTTTACCAGTAGATACTGACGATATTTCTATGTTGGACGGGATCACTGTAACAAAATTAAAATAAAAGCCAGTCGATTTACACAATATTAATACAAGGTAAGATAAATCAAAATTCCAATTGACAAGAACATATTGACATTGTTTATAATATCACAATACCTTGTACTTCCAATGTTATTTCCTTTTCTTTTGCTGATGTATCTGCCTCATTGTCAGCTTTACATTTCAAATTCTTTCCATTGTGGTTGTCCAAATTAGATGTAAACATCAGATCACTGCTGGCAATTATCAACCCATTGTTGTTCTGTGGTGTATTGTTGTTTATTGACTGTGGTGTATTATTGATATACCATGTCAATATAGATTCTGGTCTTGATGTAGTAAAACATGTAAATGTAGCACTTGTACCAGCTGTTATGGCATTGGATCCACTTATTGTAGGTATTGTAGGACCCACTAAGATAAAGTGAATTATAATATTCCGTGTTAGAAGGTGCAAACAACTGTAATATTGTAATGCGAGCGTTTGCATTCAGTCTATGATAATCTATTTCCTTCTTAAAGTCGAGGCAGGTGATCTGGTTTGTACTGTTGAGTAGTATTTTAAACAGTTATTGAGACAAGTGTGAATAAGTTAGAATGGATACAAATACATTTGTTAAAGGAACATAAAATTTGTGCTCAATGTAATATCCACAGAATATGCATTTATGATAATGTTCATATAGCATAATAAATGTCGAATTTCATTTATGTCTGTATGTATGTATGTATGTAGGATTAGAAACATGTACATTAATATAAATGATATTTACCATAAACATCAAGCATAATATGCGTTTGTTTATATTGAGGTGTGACGTCATTTTCAGCTCTACATTGTAATTGCTCATCATGATCAGTCCACTGAGGAGTAAAGGTCAATGACCTGACTGTTGTTGACAGCTTCCCATTTGGTATTACACTGGGTTGATTCCCAGTCTTTTCAGTACTTCCTAAATACCATGTTATAGTTGGTTCAGGTCTAGATTCACCAGCAGTACATGTAAACGTATAGGAATTACCAGATGTAACAATAACAGTAGAACCAGTACTATAGTCTGAACTGGCATCAGATATCATAGGATTAGAAGGTATAGCAACTGAAATATTAAGAGTTAATTTAAAGGATTGTTATTATAAGATTTGTGATTATCTTTAGTATAAAGGTAGTAATAGTATAGTATAAGACTTGAGATTGAAATAAAAAAAAATCAAGTGACAATTCTGACATTATTAATCTTCAGTTTCATTTTTAAAATGAAATGGTCAAATGTCTCGGCACCGATTTTATTTTGATGAGGTTTTGATACTGGGCCAATCGCCTTCCGATATCATGGATAAAATAAAAAACAATTGTATTGTCGTGTAGTTGGGGGCGGAAGCATTTCAATCTTGTACGAGAACAAACTTTTTCATATTTTACAATTAGTTCGTATATAATATTTCAAATGTTGCCAGCTCGTCTTGTTCAGATCAAGATGTTTCAGTTTCTAAGAAAACCGACACAAATGAAGATGACGCATCGAATGTTTACAACTTTAATCGATTGAGTTCATTGTTCGTTTCAAATCTATGTAATAATTATGATCAGCCATGATGTAATAGTCATGAATATTTTTGTTTGCATGTTTATTCCGAAGTAGGTCGCGATATAATTCCTATGCTTCGCCGCGAAATGATATCACGACCGTACCCACGGAGTGAAATTCGAAGCACGAGATCAGAAATTACACGAGACGAAGTCGAGTGTAATTTCTGATATCCTGTCGAGAACAGGCGGGGTCAATATCCTCGCCATGTATGATATCGATCTTCTTCAAAATATCGCCCAATACGTGGTCATTCTTGGAAAATATCGCCCACTTGTTCTATTGTTTAAATCGCTGCGAGGTATGTATAGACAAATAGTGTTATCATAATTGGCGGTGGTGCCTAATGATGTGTCATACAATATTATTTTGACGTGTTACGACGCAATATATATGCCGTCGTTACATTCATATGATTAAAAAGTTGAAATTTTTGTAATACGAATATTTTCGTTTTCATTATTCAAATTTCCGGTCGCCACTTTACCACCATTTTATCGTATTCACCATGTCAGTATCTAAAACAATTAGCATGTCTATCTTTTAGACGTACATCCACACACAAATGAAGTTAAAATAAACTGTTCTCACGAATGACTTACCTTTTACATATAACGTGACATATGTCGTTACTGGTGACCTTTCATCGGTATTACTAGCTTTACACTGTAGTTGTTTATCATCATCATTGTCCAGGTTTGGTGTAAATGTAAACACACTTGTTGTATCACGTAGTTTACCGTCATTCTCAACACTTAGTGTGCCCTGATATAATTGTGTTCCTATAAACCAGTCTATATCAGCTGATGGTTTGGTGCCTATAACTCTACATGTAAATGAGGACTCGGATCCATGTATGATATAAACTGTGGTTCCAGTAGAATATCCATCAATACTCACTGATGTCACTGGCACTGTAATAAATACAGATATTGATTTGGTGAACAGGATAGAATAGTTGCATTCCTCGAACTGTGCCATCAAAAGTCGGGTTAACGGATCCGTGAAATGCACTCATACTATAGAGCTCGTCAAATATGAGAGATAAAGGTAGTTGTTTACAATATACGAAGCTCCAAACGTCTCTGACTCCAACAACGGTTTATTTTATAACGTTTCGGGGAGTTGTAAAACCCCTTTTATCAAACAACAAACTAAAAGTGATATGGATAAAGCGAGGTAAAGTAATGAAAACTAAGAAAATTACCTGCTACTGATGTGTACAAAGTATGTCAGTAAAGTACTGAAAAAGTAGTGTGAAACTGAATAACAACAGATCATGAATATATTAAGAACCCAAGGTGTGAAAGCATGAATGTGACGTCCTCAATGGTTAAAAAATATAGACTTACAAAATATGTTCTTCTCTTCTATTCAGGCCGTTTGGGGGAAATAGTGCCTAATTTTTCTATCCAAAATGCCTCCTTGATGTTACGGTGGTGAATGTTTTTGAAGCCAGTATCAATACCTGTGACTTTAGGATTAACAATACTGTGGTTTGTGGAATTAAAATGAGCTGGGATGGGTAAAAAGGGCTTGTTGGAAATAATGGATGACCGATGCTGTAATATTCTAGTTTTGAGTTTGTTACTAGATTCACCAACATATTGTACGT